CCACTACCCTCTGGATGCGACCATCCAGCCAATTAATTCCTCATCCACCGAAGAGTCCAGCCATCAAATCCATATCCTTCCAATTTAGAGAGAAGGATGTTGTGGGGGACCATGTCAAAGGCCTTACAGAAGTCCAGACAGATGACATCTGTAGCTCTTCCCTTGTCCACTGATGCAGTCACTCCATCATAGAAGGCCACTAGGTTGGTCAGGCAGGATTTGCCCTTGGTGTAGGTGTGCTGGCTGTCTCGAATCACCTCCCTGTGCCTTAGCATAGCTTCTAGGAGGATCTGTTCCATGATCTTCCCAGGCACAGAGGTGAGGCTGACACGTCAGTAGTTCCCAGGGTCCTCCTTTTTACTCTTTTTAAAATGGGTGCAATGTTTCCCCTTTTCCAGTCACTGGGGACTTCACCTGACTGCCATGACTTTTCAAATATCATGGAGAGTTGCTTGGCAACTACATCAGCCAGTTCCCTCAGAACTCTGGGATGCATCTCACTGGGACCCGTAGACTTCTGTATGTTCAGGTTCCTCAGGTGGTTGCAAACCTGATCTTCACTTACAGTGGGAGGAACTTTGCCCCCCTGATCCCCATCATATGGTCCATAAATGTTGTCAATTAAGTATGTTCTAGGGCAGAGGATGATCAATCTGCCTTCTTCCCACCCCCCTCACCTCCCCAGCTGACTGTCAGCCAAATTGACTGTGCTGGCAGAGATTGGCAAGGTTTTGATACCAGCTTTTGGTTTTATCTTTTTCAATCCTGGCTTCATGTTCACTGTGTTAATAAAAATAATTTTATATTATTTTGGTCTGTGGTGGTGTGATTCCAATATTTTTTTCTTATCATGTCTTTGAAATATGGGAGTATTAACCTAGTGAGGAATCTTATTAAAGTTTTAACTCAGCTACTTCCTGAAGTTGTTGTAGAAAACGAAATGTTTCTAAGTTTAAATGGTCCTAAAATAAGTATTCATCTGCAAATAATGTGCTTTCTAAGTATGTTAAATCTGGTGTAAAATGAATATACAGGTGGAATAATCTGGCAGCTCAAGTGCATGCGAAGGAAAGTGCCTTGGCACAAGTCATACCATCAGTGAAAAATTCAGAGAGAATTTTACTGCTGTTTTAACAGAAAAACACAGTCTGCATAGCTTTTTTTTTTTTTGAGAGAGAGAGAGATATGTGTGTCTAAATTTTTTTTTTTGCGGAGTACTGCTGATCTATAAAGATTGAAAACGGTCTTCTGTATTTTAGTTGGACAGGTCTTTGTGGAGTAGACTTAACTGGTAAGAGATGTGTATGTATATATGTGATTTGATGAAGCTAAACAAGGATTTTGGTGGGGGTGGACCCAGTTTGCATGGGTAAGAAACATATCTACTACTTTTATTTCCTTTGCTTGACTCCTCGATGTTAATTTGAATGTTCTTGCTTTATCTTGCGTTTTTTAGGCTTCATAAAGGGTATCTGATTAAACTCTGAATTTTCGTTTCTTGTTTATTTTAACTTTATTCATCTTAACTTATTTCATCAACTGCATCCACTTGTGTGCTACCCATTTTTCTGGTCTAACTTAACAATTGATTTATAGGTGAAGCTAAGGCAACTTTTTTCTTTTAATCCTGTTACCTTGGCAATTGTGTAATATCCTACTAACTTCTCATTGCAGCCGATCAGATGACGATTCCAGGTCACCATCAGGTTCTGGATCTGGTTCAAGCTCTGGAAGCAGTAGTGACGGAAGCAGCAGCCAGTCAGGCAGCAGTGACTCTGACTCTGGTTCAGAGTCAGGCTCTCAGTCAGAATCAGAGTCTGACACATCTAGAGAGAAGAAGCAAATTCAAGCTAAACCACCAAAAGTTGATGGATCTGAGGTAAACAAAACATATAAATGAACCCTTTGTGGGGGGAAAAATTATTAAAAAAATCATTCTGTGCCGTTTAGTTTCAAGAGCAGTTTTCATTTAAAAAAAATAAAAAGAGGTAATGAAATGGTTTTAATTAGATTTTAACTTGGTTGTGTTAGTGAATGCATGTGCTTAGCTGTCTTAAGCATTGGGCTAAGTTTCTCATGGATAAATACTTGAACTGACACTTCTAAAATTCTCACATTTATAAGTATTTTGAGTTAAATGCTTACCTAAATTTCATCATGCAGAAGCACGTGCTAATTTACTGGAACTTACAGAAGACAAAGGCACAAGTAATGTAATTATTTCTGAAATTCTATTTTTGTACATTGTTTCTTTAATGCTTAGTTTCTTTCTATCAATAAATGATTGTATAAAAATTTCAAGCTTACATACAGTTGGCTTTCAGGAAAAAGTGGGGTTTAGAAATCTCTTAAATCCAGTGGGCCAAAATTACCTGTGCTCTCTTGTGTAATGTGGACTTAATTGGCGTGGTAGACCATATAAATGATAGGTAGTTAGTTACCACAAGAATTGAAGACTGTTAAGGATTCTCTGTTACATTTTTCACTTATGTACTTCAGTATTACTGTATGAAACAAAAACATACCAGCTAAGTGGTCTGAAAGGATTTGTCTGGGTCGGTTTGAAAATGTACTTTATAAATGTTTTACCTTAACAATACCTACACAACTATTGTTGTTAAACATGCTGTAGAAATTGTCCTGGCAATTATTATATAACATTCTCTTCTGCAGGAATCTTAACTACCTTAAAAAGCTACCTGATGTTATTAGTATATGCAGTGTTTTGTAGTGAATTTTTTTAATTGATAAAATTTAAGATCAGTCTTAATAGTTATGCTCCTCAGGAAAAGTAAATATGTGGTAAACTGGAGACTTTCAGTATGTTTAATTGACTCTTGCATCTCCATTCCTGTTTAGTTTTGGAAGTCTAGTCCAAGTATACTTGCTGTGCAAAGATCAGCAGTGCTCAAGAAGCAACAGCAACAACAAAAGGCAGCTTCATCAGACAGTGGTTCAGAAGAGGTGAATAACATAATCTAGATTTTTAAAATGTAAACATGCCTGTCTCATTGTCTCATATGTTAGAATAAAATCACATAGAGCCAAGTTATAGTCTCTAGGTGTGCATAAAAGTCTGGTTTTAGTCTAAAAAAGTAACATTAGAATAACTGACATTTTTATAAAGAAAAGTAAAAATATCTCTAGTTACTTGTTTTCAAGTGAGTTGTGCCAGAATTATAGCAGCCTCGATTACGTACCTCGATTATGGTATTTTTAGGTAGATATTTTGTGACGTATGAATGAAATTTTCAAGCCACACAGTACTGACTTGCGTTGTACTTTTGGCTTCTGGAGTTTTGTAAAGACAGTTAAAAATGCTAAAAGATTTTTTTCAACTTATTTCTGTATGAAGGTGGCTGCTGTGGTTTTCAAAAATTCTGTACAGAGTAGAATACTACATTTTTGCAAATTTTGTAATGGTTACTACATAAGAATTCTTGTATTTTAAGAGTGACACCTGTGTTCTAGCTATTTTAAAACCTAAATCATAGGCTAAAGAAATGTTGACTCTGTGTAGTAGGAACATCTTTTAAGGACCCTAGTGACTGTGAAATAGAATTTATTTATAAAGCAGACTTGCTCCTTCATGACAAAAACTATGCAGTGTAGTCGCACTCATTTGGTTGGATTTCTGTTTTTGTCTGGTTTAGCAGCTCATTGTTAAACACAGAACTTAATCACCTGTCGTCAAAACATAAATTTACAGGTGTTGTCTAGTACTTTCTTTCTGAAAGATGTTTTTCAGGATAAAACTTCATCTAAATCTAAACTTAATCTTGCTGAGATTGGTTTTAGGAAAATCTAATTTTAAGAGGGTTCTTGTTTTTTCTTAGAGAAAGAAGAAACATGCTATTCTCAATTTTCTTAAACTGTTTTTTACATGTGAAAGAATATGGAAGGTGAGAAAGCTCCTGAGGGTAGGAGATTTTGTTAGGATTTTGATGGAATCATCATCTTGGGGCAGCTTAAACCATGACTGTTTTTATGTAGGCACAATGGTTATTTTCTAAGACAGGGGTTTTTTGTGATGTTCTCCAGACCTGTGCTGGCACAAGGTATTCATAGATGGATAAATACAAAAACAGTAGCAGTCCTTATCTCATTCTGTATTAACAGCTACACTGCGGGGGATGAAGAGGGTAAAACATGAATAATATGCCTCCATTTGAAAGTGGGAGCTGATTTATCTTTTTAATGTTAGAAGTAGTTCATTCTTTTTGTGATAATGAATTGGGTTTTTTTTTTCTTCACCTGCAGGACTCATCAAGTAGTGAAGATTCTGCAGATGACTCATCCAGTGAAACCAAGAAGAAAAAACATAAAGAGTAAGACATTTCCATAAGTAACATCACATTATTTTTAAGGCATAGTGACATATGCTCATAATTCATGCTTCATTTCTTCACACTTGAAATGCTTAAATTCCCTTTTTAATTCATCTTGATCTTGCATTTCCAGTTTTGATAAATGTTTTGGAATGTTTAAAATAAACTCTCAAAGGAACATCTATATTCTGTTCATTTCTGAGCAAAGGAGTCTGCAGTCTGGCTCAAAAACATTCATCAGTGCTTTTATTTTTAAAATACTTGCAGTTTATTTTTGAGCTGAAGGCCCTCCCTAAAAATTCTTGCAGAAATGGGAAACTGCTTAAGTAGATTGTCTCACAACAAATTTAAGTTAGAATCCCTTAGTTAATGCTGAATTCTTCTTGTTTGTTTTTTTCCCCTCTGACATGTTTAAAAGTTATTATAGTTCTGACAGTAATTAACTTTATTGACTAGCAAAGAATTTTAACTGAAAATAAGCTCCTTCTAAATGATAAATCAAAAAGCTTGTGAAAAGGATTATACGTTGTTATTGTGGCAGTGAGAGGCAGTGACCTATGTTTTTTATGAATGGTGTGTAGAAATTGAACTGTTCTATTATTCCTCTTCTCTCAATTCGTGGGTCACCTCAGTGTTCAGGGTTGCCAGTATAATATCTTAAAGAAATGGTAGCTGGAAAAAAAAATTGGGCGCCAAAAAAAAAGTGCTAACTATGCAAAATGGTACTTTCCTAGCAATGAGCTGTTATTCATAGTCTTCTGTTAGTTAAGAATTTGATTGCATCTAATAGCGTACTCTGTTACAGGCAGGAACCCCATAAACAAATCACTTCATATATCCAGTGCTTGAATTTTTGCGCTATGATTCTTCTGAACAAGTATGTCTGCAGTTGTTATCTGACATGCAGATCAGAGATTTCTCAATATATAACTTGGTACATGATCAAGCCTTAGAGGGTGATGGTTTATATCTGGTTTTTATATTTCCAAATAAATACAGGTCATGGATTTATGTTATTATTTTTTTAATTTACCGTTTGCAGAAAAAGTATTTTAATAAGACATTCTGTAGTATTGGCCATGTGCCATCTGTACAATAGACACACATATGTATTTGTCTTGGATGACTGGAACAATGGGAATGTAATTTCCTCCAGGAACGCAATGTCCTGGAAGACAGGAAAGAGAGAATAAGATAGGGATCAAAGCACTGATTCTTAGGCTTCCTGATTGGAAATTTAAGGGAGAGATTTATTGGTAATATTCCAGCTTTGATGAACATTACTACTGCTCTAGCACCTTGGTCAAGTAAACCTAAACCTGATGATACTATAAAGATGTAGCAACATTTCAATAATGTATACCAGGCTTTTTCCTTTCTTTCTTTCTCATGAAGCTATTAAGATTAAATTTGCCTGTGTAAAGTCAGAGTTTGAAGCAAGATACTGGTCATCAGTAGGTACATCTTCCCTGTTGCAAAGCAGAAGATCTCAGCTATGCAGGAGCAAGGAGATCCTGCTGCTCAGTGACAAGCGTCTTACTCGTAGTATCTTGCCTGATTGTGAAGCACTCATCTGGGAGCTCAGTGGGAGCTTTTGGGAGCCAGTGCCACTTACAGGTTGCTGCAAATCAAGTTTTTCTGGGCATTTCTTGAATCTGCCTCTATTTTTTGATTCCTGTGCCAAAGTTGCTATTCTTCACATGGGCCACAGGGACCTTAGGCACTAGACAATATGAGACTCTCCGGAATATAACATGACTGGGCTTTATGATTTGAGCATGTAGAAGCTCTGATAAATATGTATCTTTCCAGTTAGACTTGTAAAGTGCTTTGGTTTCTTAATGTCATGGTAACTCATTTCTTCATGCTGAAATTTATATAGAAATCCAGATTTTTGTTTTATTTTGGGTTTTAAATCTACCTCTTGATAACAGAAAACTTAGTCCAACTCCCTTTGAAGCCATTGGGCATTTCTACTTATTTGTTATTCATTGATGACAATTTTTCTGTCTCATCAGCTGAAATAACTGTTACAAGATTTTTATTTCTGTGAAGAATGTTGAAATTACAGCAGATACTCTGAGCATGAATATGTGCATAAATATGATTTAAAAAAACAAACCAAAACAATGTAAGTTACTCTTGTCTTTCAATATGTGCAGTGAAGACTGGCAAATGTCGGGATCAGGGTCAGTATCAGGAACTGGTTCCGATTCTGAATCAGAGGAAGATAGGGAGAAAAGCAGTTGTGAAGAGAGTGAATCTGACTACGAGCCAAAAAATAAGGTCAAAAGCCGGAAACCTCCAAGCAGGTAACAAGTCTTGCATTTGGATACTCTGGTACTATTTCTAATAAGCAATTGAATGTTTACTCCTACTGTACCCACAAATGAAAACATAATGTGTATTAAAAAAGAAAGAATTTTTTTTAAAGCTACATAAGATTTTAATATACTAATGCTTTCTAGTTAATTCCTTTCCCTGTCTGCTGTAACTGAAAAGGGAGTAGCTGAGCATTCTTGAAATACATGTGTTCAGAAATCTATACAGAAGATTTATAGTTGTCCCGGTTGAAACATCATTGTTGTGTCATATCTTATTGTCTTCAAGAATTAAGCCAAAAAGTGGGAAAAAGAGCGCAGGACCGAAAAAGAGGCAACTTGATTCTTCAGAGGATGAGGAGGAGGAAGAGGATGATGATGATGATTATGATAAAAGAGGATCTCGTCGCCAGGCAACAGTCAACATTAGTTACAAAGAAGCTGAAGAAACCAAGACAGATTCTGATGATTTGCTGGAAGTTTGTGGAGAAGATGTCCCACAAACTGAAGAAGATGAATTTGAAACTATAGAGAAGTTCATGGATAGTCGAGTTGGCAGAAAAGGAGGTAATTTTTTTTTTCTTTTTTGGTGTTCTTAAGATTCTGGAGTGCATTGTGGTGCCAACTTCAACAATGTTCTCAGCTGTAGGTGACCTGTGAGGTTTATAAACAGCAATAATTTTAAAGTTACCAAAAAGTCATATTGTTTTGTCTTTCATATTCATAAGGTTGTTCCTTTTTAAAGTTCACTCTAAGTGTTGCAAAGTAAAATGTAGAATTGCATACCTAAGTAGAAAATAAAAATTAAGTGGAATATAGCTCAGTATTGCATAAATGCCTACCATATTGTTACACAACTGTTTGTAGAGTTTAGTGATACTTGATCAGTATGAATTACATACAGTGGAGCAGAGAAAGTGGACTAGATAAGAGAGCTGACTAGTAATCTGAACCCTGAAAGATGCTGTTAGCAAGGCTGAACCACTGAGGTTATGATTTCAGTTGCTGCTGTACAAATTGTCTCAATACAGTGCAATGTGTGGAATGACCACAAAATGCATCTAAAATTTCAGTGGTGCACTTGCATGTGAACTCTTAAGAGTACTTTGTGAATAGTGGTAGACATGTCATATTTCCAGCAATAATGGGATGCAGGATCTAGCAGTTCTGCTTATGTGTTTGAGTCTGCAAGTTCCGATTCTAATTATAAAAACAAACACACACAAAAAAACTCCAACCTTGGGCCCCTTGCACTTCAGAGCAACCTTTCTCCGTTAGTTATACCCAATCTCTAAAGTTTCTGATCCATCTCGGAACTTGCACTCTTCCTCCTCTCAACTTTCTTCTCCCATGCTGTCGCAAATTCTAGTGTATCCTCCTCCATTGCGTAGTGTTACTGCTGTGGTCAAAGCCTTTGGAACTAAGCTTCTTATATTCTTCCTGCCCAGATGATGTTGCTGCTTGTGCTGTCTTTTGCTGTTGCCACTCTCTGTTGCTTTATCTGGCCCCTGCAGCTTGCTGGGCTCATTTCCTTACCTGGCTGTCCTCACAGAAATGAGCCTGTTTCCTGCTGCTAGTATGCTTCAGCTGTGATACAGACTGTACTTAATTAAAAATTTTCCCAGGTAAGCTAACAAAGGCAGAAAAAGTAGTAAAACATGTTTAGGAAGAAATAGATTTATACTATCCCTAGTAGTAGGTTATTGATGTCTTGAAGCTGACCAAGCATAACATCAGATGTCTTTTGTATGCTCAAAGGCGAGAGTACTATGACAGAGAAGGCGACAAGCAGCGTTAGTGGAGCATTTCCTGGTGATCACATCAAAAACTAGGAAAGCAAAGAAAATTCTCATGAGAAAAGATAACATATTGTAGGTTAGGTGCGGAAGTTTTGGTTGCTTTTCTGATTTTCTTTTGACTACTTGGCATGTATTAACATATCTACGCCATAATTGCTCAAATAAGAGTAATGACATGAGAGCTGTATATCCTAGTCAAGTATATGCTCATCTAAAAGTATCACTAATTGCTTTCTACACTACATTTCTTACTGGTTAACTTATAACATTGCACACCTAATTAAGGCTTATGATGTGGTTTCTTCTCAGCCACAGGTGCTGCAACCACCATCTATGCAGTTGAGGCAGATGGTGACCCAAATGCTGGGTTTGAAAAGTCGAAGGAGCCAGGAGAAATACAGTATCTTATTAAATGGAAAGGTTGGTCACACATCCATAACACTTGGGAAACTGAGGAAACACTGAAGCAACAAAATGTTAAAGGAATGAAGAAGCTGGACAACTATAAGAAAAAGGATCAGGAAACAAAACGATGGTGAATATTTTTAAGTAGATTGCCACTATAGTTATTTTGTGACAATGTAGATTTTTTTTTGTGTGTTTCTGAGGCTTGTTACCTCTTTTTGAGGGCATAATTTCAAGTGTCTATGCAACAGGAAGACAAAAACTTTAAAAGTTGTAGCCTCCTTAACATGTTCCTGTAAGATAATCCTCTGAACCTGATTTTAGTGTGTGTGTTATAAATGGAGTTTTAACAAGACAGGTAGTGTTTAAAAATAAGTAATAAATTGTACCTTTTGCTAATTTTGTCGTTATACATTGATCAGAGTTCTTCAGGAATCGCTGCAGAGATTAATGTGCATTAGCTGTTTCAGAATACTTTGAAGAATTCATTTTTCTTGGCTCAAACCTGAGGTTCAAGCCCGAGAACAAAAACCTGCAGAAATCCGTGCATTTTAAAGTCGCCTTTTTGGTGTTCAGTTTTATTAGTATGTTTAGTATAATCAATGAGTAGTGGTGGGATTTGTAGCAACTTAATCATAAGATGGATTCTTACAGTGTGAGCCACCCTGAATATTGTTCCATGAAAATACCCTGTAAATTACACTACTTATTGTTGAGAACAGGTATTCTGAATTAGCTGCATGACTAGTATCACCTGTAGCTGTAGTAGTTGTGTCTCTTGATAAGCATTCTAAGTCATTAATGATGAGGCACCTAGGCCAGATGCCACACTTCTGTAGTAGGAATTTCTGTTGTCCCTTCTAAGAAGGTCTGTAAGCAACATTCCTGTGATGCTTACATTCAGAGCTTTAGAGTTGCCAGATTATCTTAGTTTTAGAACTATACAGTGTAATAAGTGTTGTAAATTAATTCCCATTACAGGCTGAAAAATGCTTCTCCAGAAGATGTGGAATATTACAACTGCCAGCAGGAGCTTACAGATGATCTACATAAACAATACCAGATAGTGGAAAGAATAATTGGTATGTTACAAACTGGCAGACAGAAAACAGTGTTGAGAATTCTGTATGTTCGCTGCATTTGTAGTTACGAAATTCAGAATACTAATATCACTAACCTTTTAATCCAAAACAAAACTTCAGGTAAAGAGAGAAGTTATCATACTGTCTGTGCTATGAAGCTAGCTTATGTTGTCTTATTACCTAAAGTAAGTGTTTTCATAAGATACAGAAGTAAAATGGTGATCAGATATCTCTGGTGTATTTCTGCAGCTCATTCAAATCAGAAATCAGCAGCTGGTTATCCAGACTACTATTGCAAATGGCAGGGTCTGCCTTATTCAGAATGTAGCTGGGAAGATGGTGCTCTCATTGCCAAAAAGTTTCAGACACGCATTGATGAGTACTTCAGCAGAAATCAATCCAAGACCACTCCCTTTAAGGACTGCAAGGTGAGTTTGTAATTTGCAGTGGATTTATAATCAGTTGTATTGGGTCTGGCTGTGGTGGAATTAATTTTCTTCATAGCAGCCTGTATGGCCTGTGTTTTAGATTTGTGACCTAAACAGTGTTGATAACACACCAGTGTTTTGGCTGTTGCTGAACAGTGCTTGCACAGTCTCAAGGCCTTCTCTGTTTCTTGCTATGCCCTTCCTGCCCTGAGTAGGCTGGGAGTGGGCAAGGGGCTGGGAGGGAACACAGCCAGTACAGTTGACCCCAACTGACCAAAGAGATATTCCATGCGCCTTAATGTCGTGCTCAGCAGTAAAACTGGGTGGGCTGAGCAGGGGGTTCAGAGGTGGCTGTTGCTTGGAGACTTGCTAGTTATCAGTTGCTGGTGAGTTAATGTGTCACTCCCTTTCTGTCACTTGTGGGATTTTTTTGGTTGTGGGTTTTTGTTTTGGTTGGTTGGCTTTTTTCCTTCACTCAATAAACTCTTTACTTTGATCCACAAGTTTTTCTCACTTTCATCCTTTCAGTTCTCTCCCCTGTCCCACTGGGGTGGGGAGTGAATAAGCAACTGGGTGGTGGCTTAGCAGCTGGCCAGGTTCAAGCCACCACATCAGTTGTGACAGTAAAACTGTGAAAATATTCTATGAATACGGAGATAAGATATATATTATGAAATACTTTTTGAAGGTTGTTCAGAATAGTGATAATGATATATAGTAATATATATGGAAAATATAGAATCGTAGAATCGTTAAGGTTGGAAAGGAGCTCCGAGATCATCAAGTCCAACCTGTTAACCTAACTGCCTGATCTACCTCTAAACCATGTTCCTAAGCACCACATCCACACGTTTTTTGAATACTTACAGGGACTGTGATTGTACCACTTCCCTGGGCAGTCTGTTCCAATGCCTAACCACTCTCTCAGTGAAGAAATTTTTCCTAATATCTAATCTAAATCTTCCCTGGCACAGCTTGAGCCCATTTCCTCTTGTCCTATCACTTGTTACTTGGGAGAAGAGACCAACACCCACCTTGCTACAACCTCCTTTCAGGTAGTTGTAGAGAGCAATAAGGTCTCCGCTCAGCCTCCTCTTCTCCAAACTAAACAACCCCAGCTCCCGCAGCTGCTCCTTGTAAGACTTGTGCTCTAGACCCTTCACCAGCTTCGTTGCCCTTCTTTGGACATGCTCCAGCACCTCAGTGTCCTTGTAGTGAGGAGCCCAAAACTGAACACACTGAGCGGCCTCACCAGTGCCAAGTACAGGGGCACTATCACCTCCCTGGTCGTGCTGGCCACACTATTCCTGATACAAGCCAGGATGCCATTGGCCCTCTTTGCCACCTGAGCACACTGCTGGCTCATGTTCAGCTGGCTGTCAGCCAACACCCCCAGGTCCTTTTCCACCAGGCAGCTCTCCAGCCACTCCTCCCCCAGCCTGTAGTGTTGCATGGGGTTGTTGTGACCCAAGTGCAGGACCCGGCACTTAGCCTTGTTGAACCTCATACAGCTGGCCTTGGCCTATCGATCCAGCCTGTCCAGATCCCTCTGTAGAGCCTTCCTATCCTCCAGCAGATCGACACTCCCACCCAACTTGGTGTTCTCTGCAAGCTTACTGAGGGTGCACTCAATCCCCTCATCCAGATCATTGATAAAGATATCAATCAGAACTGGCCCCAATACTGAGCCGTGGGGAATACCACTTGTGGCCTGTCGCCAACTGGATTTAACTCCGTTCACCACCCCTCTCTGGGCTTGGCCATTTAGCCATTTTTTAACACAGCGGAGAGTGCGCTTCTCCAAGCCATGAGCAGCGAGCTTCTCCAGGAGAATGCTGTGGGAGACAGTGTCAAAAGCATTTAGTAAAGTCCAAGTAGACGACATCCACAGCCTTCGCCTCATCCACTAAGCAGTTCACCTTGTCATAGAAGGAGATCAGGTTGGTCAAGCAGGATCACTACTAACAGTAGCTTTTTGTATATACTAGTCCACTGCGTTTTTACTGGCATTCAAAGATGGTCTTGTTTGGTATTGTAGTTTATTTTAAAAGTAAACTTTGAGTGAGTTAGTGTCACTCTCATTGTGAAATTCAGATTAGCAATCAAAATAATTTCAACTTGCAGATTGCTTGGTGTTTTTATACGGCCTAGTTTTCGTCGATGGATAAAGAGTAGACTTGATGATCTAGTAGATCCCTACTGCAGTTTTTCCTATAGGAAGACATTTTTTTAACTTCAGTCAGTAGTAGCACTGATGATCAATTTGCTTTTGACAGGTTCTAAAACAGAGGCCAAGGTTTGTTGCACTAAAGAAGCAGCCATCTTATATTGGCGGACATGAAAGTTTAGAGTTAAGAGATTATCAGTTAAATGGATTGAATTGGCTTGCTCACTCATGGTGCAAGTAAGTATAGTCTGAAACAAGTTTTTCTGTTTGTAAATTGTAAGCATTTGTAAAACTTTGAACTTGATTTTTCTGTATTTTTTTTAAGGTGGAGGGTTTCATACAGTAAGCTCAAAGTAGAGATCTGAGGGGACTGGTTTTGCTCTAAGTAGTACCAAAGCTTATCATTCCATGGCTGTTCTCAAAAAACAGCTAAGCTCTGTTGTTGCTTTCTTTTAATTATGTATAGGGGTAAGTCATATTTTTAAAAAATACATCAACCTAAACCAGTAAAACCAGAAAATCCAAAGCAAACTCTTCTGAAATGTCAACATTAGTATTATACTTTTAAATTTAGACTCGTGAGGAATACTTGCAAGATTTTTGTTAATTTTGTTAATTTAATTAAGGTATTAAGGTGGGGGATAGAAATTGTTTTTATGGAAAAACAGTGGAAATAAACTTCTTCAAGACGTATCGTTGCAAAATCTTGCAAACTAGTATGAGTAGTTTTTATGCTCAAAAGATAATAATTTCTTCTTGTCCAATCCCTCCCCCTCTCTACATCCCACCTACATTTTTTTTTTAGAGGGAATAGCTGTATTCTTGCAGATGAAATGGGTCTGGGTAAAACAATACAAACAATTTCTTTTCTGAACTACCTGTTTCACGAACATCAATTGTATGGGCCTTTCTTGCTGGTCGTGCCACTTTCTACCTTGACATCTTGGCAAAGAGAGATTCAAACTTGGGCTCCTCAGATGAATGCTGTAGTTTACTTAGGAGATATAACTAGCAGAAATATGGTGAGTATTTCTATTTATCATTGGAAAGGCTTGTAGATAATCAAGACTCACTTCATGTTCCTGTCCTCTGCTAATCTCCAATATTTTGATTAGGACTGAGCAAATACTTACTGAAACGCTGTGTTTAAGATGTAAATTGAAAGCTTAGATTTTGATCTGATATAAAGATGTGTGAAAGATTTCCTTCCTGCTTAATAGTGAACAGGATTAAGAATTTAGTCTTGCATTTCAAAACAAATTATCTTCTGCCATATGATTGTTTAGGTGGATATAGTAAAAATAAACACAAAAGCAAGCCAGTCATGATCTTAATCTGTTTCCTGAAAGGTTGCTGATTTGTTTTCTTAATGTGTTTTCTGAATGTTGGTAATTTTATCCATTAAAGTAAAAAATGTTTTGTAGAAATTCTTTGCTCTTTATTCAGAAATTTAAACAAACTATTTTTGGAGTGCTTAGACAGGTTGGAAGTTCAGTCTTGTGTATGTTAATATGTTGTGCTTCTGTTTTGTGATCATATTATTTTATATCATTAAACATTTACATTGCTGCAGTACTTAAATTCATCCCAGTCAACAAGACCTTCTTTTTTCTCTAGTTTATAGTTCACTTGATTCTTTTTGTTGATTAGAACTCATGAATGGATGCATCCACAGACCAAACGATTAAAATTCAACATACTTCTAACAACATATGAAATTTTGCTGAAGGATAAGGTAATCATACTTCTTCAGGGAGATAAAAATCATTTCTCCAGTGTAGAACTCTCTTTAGACTTGCATGTATTTGGGTTGTGGGCCATTAAATTTATGGAGAGTGTGATAGCTTTTGCTTTCGGAAGTATGAGAGTGCGTGGCTTGGGTTTTGGGGTGTTTTTGTTTGTTTGCTTATTTTGTTTTTTTTTAAGCACTTCTAGATTTTCTGTGCATGTGGTAAGGCTTTCAGCATTTTTCCATTTCTTTAACTGGGTAACACTTCTCTTTCTCCAGTTTGCTTGGGATTCTCATTACTGTAATAATCTCTTCCCATCTTCAAGAGCTCTACTTCTTTGCAGACCACCATCAAGGAACTGAAAAAGAACCCAGCGCCTAGCCCCAAACATGATACAGAACTCTGAAATCCCATGTAGTTTTTCTTTGTTATTATGCATACAGTAGTATGTGTACATGTATTGACACTGTCTCCATAGTGGTAGCACACAGAGTTACTGTTAATGCTTCTAATGGTATATGGAAATTTTTATACATAGTCAAGAAGCAGAACATTTTTACTTCCATTTTGTACGTGCTGGGAAGAAGACGTCAATAGCGATCATTTTTCTGCCATACAAAATTAATGTGGGTCAGACTTCTGGCCAGTTTTTCCTTTAAACTTAATTTATACTTTCTTGGGGTGCTTGCACAGCCTTTCATTGAATCTGGCAAATGTAAAAGCCATAATTAGTACTAAAAACATATAGCTGTCCATATTATATTAAAATAAACCAAAAAATGATGGTGTTTATAGCTTGATTATAAAATGTTGGAAATTATGCAATATGTTTATTTGTATAACGTGTGTCGTCCCCCCCCCCTATTTCTTTAAGTCATTCCTTGGTGGTCTGAATTGGGCGTTCATAGGAGTTGACGAAGCTCATCGTTTAAAAAATGATGATTCCCTTTTGTACAAGACTTTAATAGACTTTAAGTCTAATCATCGTCTTCTTATTACTGGAACCCCTCTGCAAAACTCCCTCAAAGAGCTTTGGTCTTTGTTGCACTTCATCATGCCAGAAAAGTAAGAAAGAGTTTTACATTATTCTTTTTAATATTTTTTTTTGTGAAGTAGTGTAGTGATTTGAAAACTAATAGAGGTAAAGAATCATACTGAAAGATAATTTAAATATTCTATATGAAGTAGATGCATATATATTTTTTCATGCTGCTCCTGATAAGGAACGTTGGTAGCAGTTGTCACCTTTTTCCATTTTAGCAGACCAGAAAAATAATGGATTTGATGTATGGGTCAGAACCTGGAAAAAAGGCTTCGTATTAGCCTAAGAGGAAAACCATATGGATTTACTCTCGGGAAATAGCACAGAACCTTTTCCGTGTTAGTACTATTAGTGAAAAGAAATTTGTACCAAGATGCCCAATATCCTGTAGTTCTGATAGCTGGTTTTCCCATACAGTTTGGATGCAGTAAGCTTACTGTATCGACCTAATTTTGTACTGACCTCTGTTTACACTTAAGACAAATTAGAGCTCATGTGTGAGAGCACATGTTCTTGTCAGACATCTTGTAAATGCCAAGCACCATAGCTCCATTCAGTTTGAGCTAATTTTGAGTATTGACTTCTTCAGAACCTTACAAGCAAAGCCACTTGGTCTAGTACCCATTCTTCATTTGATCATAAAGTCTGTTCTCCTAGTCTGTTAGCATAGAGGATGGTTACACTTCAGCTAGACCATACAATCTTCAAAAAGTACATTAAGTAGTCTCTTGTTGTCTTGCACACCCTCCAGCCATACAGCTGTTTTTTCATGCTACTCGATATATGTAATAATGGAATTTCTGTAACCATCTAGGTGAGTATTCTTGCAGAAAAAGAAAAATGTTGGATTTCCACTGGGGAAGTTAAAATTCAGTAGTTTTCATTCTGTAAATGTTTTTGGAACATTCCATTTTTCTGTTTACAGGCAAAGTATTTGGAACTTCTTGTGAGGTGAAAATTCAGAAATTGGATAAACAGAAGGGAGTGGGGAAGAAATTTAAATGTGTGTGTGCTCTTGTGGTATATTTATACACATTCTCTGTTTGTGTTATCCATCTTCTTGAATTTTGCTTCTTCAGGTTGTTCACAGTATTGTCACTATCTTGCGCTCATTCTTTATTATGTTGAAGGTTTTCCTCCTGGGAAGATTTTGAAGAGGAGCATGGCAAAGGGAGAGAGTATGGTTATGCAAGTCTTCACAAAGAACTTGAACCATTTTTGCTGAGAAGAGTAAAAAAAGATGTAGAAAAGTCTTTACCTGCTAAAGTTGAGCAAATTCTGAGGATGGAAATGAGTGCATTGCAGAAGCAATATTACAAGTAACAACACTTTTTAAATTGTGCTATTTTAGTGATATGTCTAAGTGCAATTTACTGAAGTATAGTAGTTTTTAATAATGCAATTTGAACTTGAGGCTTCTAGAGTTTCACACAGTAAAATTCTATGAAGCAAGGGCTCAAGAATTGCACTGGTCTAATGTCTATTCATGTAGCTTCTTTTATTTGGCATGTTAGTACATTCTTTTGGGAGCTGCTTTTTTTCTTTAGCTTGTTCATATTTTGAGAGCTTACATCTGTCTTGCTTCCACATATGGTTAGAAATTACTTATATTGTACATCTTATATCATAGGTGGATTTTAACCAGGAATTATAAAGCCCTCAGTAAAGGTTCAAAAGGCAGTACCTCAGGCTTTTTGAACATCATGATGGAACTCAAGAAGTGTTGTAACCATTGCTACCTCATTAAACCACCAGATGATAATGAATTCTATAATAAACAGGAGGCCTTACAGGTAATGTCACTTTTTTAATTAAAAGAAAAAAAAAAAGTTAAATCTGTAATATTAACAAAACTTTATAGTGCTCTGGCAGTTTATTAATGCTTATTGAAGTATATTAAGAAAAAACAGGTTCTCTGGAAAATGTTCATCCTGGGTTTTACAGGTAAGTGAACTGATTTTTGTTTCTTAATTGGAACTGAATAATTGACAGATAATTGCCTAAATAAAATACCCCTGATTTTAATTAAAATCAAAGTAAAAAGGAAATAGTTTGAAACAGGCTGTATTTTCATGCAAAATAAACTTGGGACCTATTTTAAACCTAAGTAAAATAAAGTAGCTAAGCAGGTAAATGTAATGTAAGTGGAAATACATGTGACTGTCAGTGGTACACCAGCAATCTGTGTGGTAGCAGAAAGTCATCTGTAGAATGCTTTTAAGCCTTTTTTATAATCAAATACTGTTCTCTGTATGCCTGCAAACAACCAAAGTGAAAGGAAATGAAAGTAACAAGCATCCAAAGTTCAGTCTGGTTTTGTTGTTGTTGTTACAACAGCTGAAAACAATTATCATCACTACCAAAGATGGTCTGTTGTTTGGGGGATTTTTGTAAGGTTAGTTAATATTTGTACCAAAACTGTTCAGAAGCACAGCAACAGATAAGACGACTGTTGTTGTTGATGCAGTTTATACCAACGTAAATGTTTGTAAAGATTATTTTTTTTCTGTAAGCTTTCAGGTTGATAATTTAAATACCTTCCCAAAGCTACTAGTTTGTGCAGTGATAAATATCCTCCTTCTTTCTGGCAGAAAGAATAAAAGCACCTAACTCAAAATTTAGCATTCCCTAGAATTCTGTCCCAAGCATCTTCACCTAAAGAGCCCTAACGTTTTCAACAGTAAATTTCACACTTGCTTGAGTTTCTGTTCTAGTTATTCCCAATGGAGCTGAGAAGGCTTAACAGGCTTTAGGTGGGTTACCATGTTAGGCACCACAAACAAGATTCCTCTCACTTTATCTTGCCTGAAAAATTTGATTGATAGGCTTTGTTTAAAAATACTTACAGGGTTAGGCAGCAATACTTATTTTCAAAAGATAAGTGAAGAGAAAGTAGTACTAAAAGTTTATTCTCAATCTTGTATTTTAATGGTTACCAAATTTTATTTTTTACTTGCAGAAATGAACTTGGGTCTATATCAGAACTGCTTAAATTTTTGAGATGTTAAGATAGGAAACTGAGCAATGCATTTCCTTTAAAAATATGTGAGTTAGTAATCCTGTTGATTTGTGTTAGAATCAACTAAACTAAAATCAGAGTCAACTTTCATGTTCAGTTAATGCTGCATACTACTAAATTTATATGTTGTCTTCTGGTAACATGAATTTGATGGGTTGGTTTTTTTCTTTTTTAGTTCTAGGAGACTATATATTGTATGCACATTTTAAACTACAGAATTCTTAAGGAATGTCAGAATTTGCCTTTTTTTTTTTTTCCCCAAAACAATGGAAAGAAAAGCAAACGTCGAATGAATGTCTAACCAATTACAGTGTGCATTAGTGTTTTGATGAACTTATTTTGTAATATGTAGTTCTTGTTTTTTGTAGCATTTAATACGTAGCAGCGGGAAACTAATCCTTCTTGACAAGCTGTTGATTCGTCTGCGAGAACGTGGCAACAGAGTTCTGATTTTCTCACAGATGGTGAGGATGCTGGACATCCTAGCAGAATATCTGAAGTATCGTCAGTTTCCCTTTCAGGTAAGAATCTTGGTGGTAGTAGCCAAGAAGCTTTTATTTTTTAATATAAGAAAAATCTTTTCTTTACTCTGAGGGTGACAGAGCACTGGAACAAGTTGTTCAGAGGTTATTTCATTTCCATTCTCTGTGACATTTAAAAACCACCTGGAGATGACCTTGGACAACCTGCTTTAGCTGCCCCTGCCTGAGCAGGGGAGTTAGTCAAGATGACCTCCAGAGGTCTCTTCCAACTTCAACTGTTTTCTGATTTCTTTACCACTTTGCTTAAGAAAAGATATAAGAAAAAGTGTTCTTTTCTAGAAAGAGTGGCAATCGCTATATCCTATGTAGTATTTTGAAATTAAACTGGTGAATTAAAAAATCACATGAAGTGATGCATCACTTTTTTTTACTTCACATAACAGTTCTAGCAGTTGAGAATTCAGGTTTCTCTGATTTTGAATGTAGTATAAGAATTACTTTTTAACTGTAGTATTCAATCTCTTTAGAGACTTGATGGATCAATAAAAGGGGAATTGAGGAAACAAGCACTGGATCATTTTAATGCAGAAGGATCCGAGGTATGGTATTTTTTTCGTAAGGAGTCTGTTTTATTTTTTTTCTCAAGAAATACAAAAACCACTGCACAAAAAAATTAAGGCTGAGAAAAGTGAGGAATATATCAATAAGGTTGAAAATGCATTGTTATTGCCTAGATGATAAGGCTTATGTCTGCTAATTTTTTTTTTGTCTAAGAAGAGCTTAAGTAGAAAACACATAACTTATGAAAATGGTATTTAATCAATTGTGTAGCTAAATTTTTTTTTCTTTAATGGTCTTTATCAAAGTTATTTTAATTAGTATTTAAGTGCTGCAGCAATTTAACCTCAGCCTTGTTGTTGTGTTAACCCAACAATGTTGACAAGATCATTGAACTTACACAAGCATTTAGCATCAAAAGCATCCTTTGGCAATGGGCAGAACTAACTTGTGTATATCCTTGCATGAACAACCATCTTTAATTGTTTCAAATCTGGCTTCTGTTGTCTTCATTTGTTGCTACCTACTTACTTGCCCTGGAAAAAAGTGAAGAACTGATTTCTAGCCATTCTTTGTGAGCAACCTATGACTACATAGGTGTCTGTTACAGATTCTTTCTTTTCTGAGTTGGAAAATTTGTAGCTTATTTAGCATTCCTAATATGCAAGTCATTCCATACCTTTGATCAGCTTAAATCTTTTGTCCTACACTGGCAGATTTGGGGGAGGGGAGGTTGTTTGGGGCGTGGTTTTTGTTTTGGGGTTTTTTGGGTGTGTTCTTGGTTTTTTAAAATCGGTAATTGAAGGATAGCATTTGTAAGTTGCTGCTGAGCTTGTTTCTGCTATGATGGAGGGAGAAGGACTTAACTCCATGAGGTAAACTTCAGATATTTGTTAAATACAAAAGTTAATTTTGTTTCAAATTTCTAGTATAGACAGTGTTGCCTTTTTCTGAAATCTTTGCAGTTACACTGTATGTTTTTTGAGATGAAGAGGAATTTAAAACTTCATGCATTTCAAAAATGGAGGCAAACTGTATTTGTACAACAAAATAATTATGTTCTCAGTTTTATTTTTTATTTCTTTCTTAAAAATTTGGAACATTCTGTATGGTTTTTGGCCATTACTGAGCTAAAGTCTACGTGGAAATTTCCAGCACAATTCTCAGGACTCATTCCTGAGTGTAATGGTTTGCTATTTCCTGTAACTGTACTGAAAATTAGCATTTTTTTTTTTTTTTAACCTAGCACAATTCTCAGGACTCATTCCTGAGTGTAATGGTTTGCTATTTCCTGTAACTGTACTGAAAATTGGGATTTTTTTTTTTTTTTTAACCTGTTGT